GGGGCGGTTTGGGGGTGGGTTAGCGGTGGGTGGGGTGTCGGAAAGTGACGGCGGAGGAGCAGCGGGGTCGGTTCCTAAAGGCCCGTGTGCGTGTGTCTGTGCTTGTGGGCGAACGAGACGGACAGAAGTCGGTAAGGGAGGAGCGGTGCGGGAAGGGCCGGGCGCTGTCGCCGCCATGTTGTGCTCGCTGGGCTGCTCCATTGTTGGAGAAATGGGGACGGGGGTTCCGGGCTCCCCGCGGGGGACGAGGGACCGGAGGGCGTAGGCAAGATGAGAAGGGAGAAAGTTCGGAGACGAACAGACAGAGCTCTGGCAAGCGCCGAGCCTGTGAGGGCCGCTCCGCTGGGAGCAAAGAGCAGCTTGGTTTGTGCTAATGACGTTACCTCGGCCCTTGGTTTTAGTCACAAGAAGGCGAAAGCTGGAAGTGAAGATGGGCGGCTCTTCCTGGAGCTTTTGGGAAGAGATGGACTAGGGGTGCTGATGACTCTTGAAGGAGTGACACATCGATTAGGGGGGAGGTGAACGGATTGGAGTGCCTTAAGATTAAAGTCTTTAAAAAGATTTCGAGTGAGCGAGCCGTGGGCTACACAGGAAATTATTTTAAGAGTTAGTAAGGAATTACTTTGCTAACGAAGGTGGGAAAAAACCAGCTGACAGATGAGGAGTGGAGCTCTGTTGTAAAGGCTGGAGGAGGGTTTGGGGCTGCGATTGGTTTCATGGGAAGCGTTGGGGCACTTGGGGTCGGGGTCAGTTTCTGTGCGCGGTGATTCTGGGCGGTGCTTTTCTGTTCTGGTCCCGCAGAGTTAGGCGGGTGAGTTCTCCAGGGATAGCTTTCAGGAAGGGTTTCTTTGTGCTCAAGAGTGATGCATTGAAGCGCTAGTTCCTTAAGAGTTCATCCCAAAGTATTTTCCATTGTATTTGACTTTTTTTTTCCCTTTTTTTAAAAAAAAAAAGGGTAAGGTTCTTGCTTGCCTATTGAAATACTTATCATGCTCTATATATATCTTAATAAAAATGCTGTTCTTTGTGAAATGCTAAGTATGATGGTGAAGTTTTAAAGAGTAAGACAAACACTGCTGTGTCTTTAAGTTTGAAGTATATTGTAATTTTTAACAAATAAGAGACACAACTGACTTTATGAATTCTCTGAATTATTTCAGCTTTTTCTTTTTTCCAAATTAGAAAGGGAAACAATTGTTTCCTTAAGCTGAATTCAAACTTCATTCTCGTTTATGCAGTGGGACTTCTCCCTTGGAGCTTCTGTGCCGAGAATCCGATGTTGGGCTCGGCTACCTGGCTGAATACAGCAGATCAGCCCATGAAAACTTCTATTCCTAGCCAAAGGAAGGAGTCCAGCAAAAGGCAGCACCTACTCTTTCAGGCTTGGAAGCAAGAAAGGGGGCAAGAGTTGGAGAGTGTGGAATCTGAGAAGACAACTGAAAGGTAAATGGGTGTGGGGGAGGAATAGTATACTGTAGGAGTCAGCATGAAGGTGCCAAGTACTGTGTGGTAGTATCTGGCTATGTGCTTTGGAAGTTCAGTTACAAATGGCTGCTTTCCATTTGAGGTTGTTTTCAGATCGCTTTGGGTTTATCAGAGTAATTCTTGGACTTACCAGAAAGACTGGGGGAGTGGCTTTATCAGTGCAAACTTTGCCTAGATCTTTAGGTGTAGCAAGCTTGGTTTAAATGTCTTCAGGATTAAATACTAACACCTTAAATTTGGCACTGTATTTTGCGAGCAACATGTCTTTCACATTCTTCCAGTAACACCTTTTGCTGAGGAGAAAAGAAGTGGTGTATTTGGTAGTTGGGCTGCCTGGAGGACCAGTGTTTTCACAACTAGGTAGAGGGACTGGGGTACAGTTCCTGAAGGATGGATTGGTATACGATGTGCTGGTCAGCCATCAGCAGCAGAACTGTTAAGCCATTGTAGAGTCAGTAATCTCCCACTTGGAAGATACGCTGCATTATAATTCAGTTCTCATGAGTGTGTCAGCTAAGTTCTTAGGTATTACTGAAGTGGTGTCCAGTGAAGGAGAAAAAACCACTACTTTCAATTGATAGAAGTTTTGGTTAGATGGATTTCAGTCCCCTTGCTTAGAACCTAAAAATTCTCTGCCATGTTTTCTGTTTTTTAAAAAAAAAAAGTAGTAATGCAAACTCCACTGACTTTTTTCCCGTTTTTACAGGTGACATTTAAGTTGAAGATGGGTGGTGGAGAAAGATTCAACATTCCAGTTCCCCAATCTAGAAATATCACCAAGAACCATCAACAACTTAAAAACAGGCAGAAGAATAAAGACCAGAATTCGCAGATGAAGACCTATATGAAGAAAGAAAGAGGACATGGATGCAACTCATCATCTGGTGCATGGCAGGCCATGCAAAAAGGGGGGAAGAACAATGTTCATTTCCCCAATAATCAAAATTGGAGTCCTACTTTATCAAATCACAACCTGTTTTTCACACCTCAAACCAATCAGAACTATGCTGGAGCAAAATTTAGTGAGCCACCCTCACCAAGTGTTCTTCCTAAGCCACCAAGCCACTGGGTACCTGTTTCTTTTAAACCTTCTGATAAAGAAATAATGACATTTCAGCTTAAAACATTACTTAAAGTCCAGGCTTGAGATGTAACTTTTCATATTTTTTAAAGTTATTTGAATTTACAGGGTTTCAAATTTGAGAATTGTTATTCCTAACTCCAGATGCACAGGTGTACAGAACTAGATGTTCTTGCTGTGTGTAGTTGGTCACTTGGAAGAGAAGGGGGTGGAAGCTTACATTCCCCCATTTTTTTACCTCAAAAGTTGTGTGCTGTGTTCACTTCACTGTGCAATAGGTATTTTTCTCTATAATCAATCTAATCAAATCCTGAACAGTCACCATTTATTGTATTTATTGTAAAAGTAAATGGGACTGTCTCCCAAAATTGGAATTGTGACTACTTTTTGGTATGGTGTTAGAAAACCAGCTTTTGCTTAACTAAATGCAGCATTTACTGGAAAAAAATGCACTGAAAGCTTTAGTCACGTACTTTGCTGCTTTTCAAACTTGCGTAAAATGTGCTAGTTAAATAAAAACTCTGCAGAGCGGATTTGCTGAGCAGAGGAGACCTCCACCTAGGCACTAGGTAAAACACAGATTATTCTCGTTTATACCCGTGAGCTTTATGTGGCAGTCTTGAATTGGTGGAGAAGCATTTCAAGCCTGTGACTAAAATTGAGATCTAGGAAACATACCGGTGCATGTTCTTGAAGGAGGAACACATCAGGCAAATCTGTAACTGTCTCTCCAGCTCTAGCAGTACTTCACTGGAATCTCAGCAAGCCAGACTGTGCCAACTAGCGATGCTGCGTTGCCAGATGACTGCCAAAAACCTCTAAAAAAAATCCTTTATGTCCCGATTGCACTGATGAGTTCTAAAATGCATTTTTGTATCAGTTTTTAAAATTGTGAAAAAGGTATAGTTACTTAGACTGGTCTTAAATTGGTTACCCTGTAATAATTGCTTTAAGTTACAGTAGCTTGTGGCAGGTATTAAAATGTTTTCATAGGGAAGACAGAGCCATGTAAATAAGTGTAAAACTTTGTAGCATATGTAAATTTACGCTGGGCTTTCCTGCACAGAAGTATTTTTAGTACAAAACTGCTGAATGTAAGATGACCATGTTGAATACATGGCCTGATTTAAAAGAAGATATTTTGTTTAAAAAAAAAAAAAAAGACATTTGTGGCTGTGCCCTTGCACTTAACATACAGTGAATATGCACATATTATTTGGTTGTGAGCTCATTTTTAAAGTAAACTCAGTGCAAAAGAGGCTTATCTAGAATTTTTTAATAAAAAAAAAACTAAAAAAAAAGCTGCTCAAGTTTAAGATACTCATGCTCTGAATGTATAGGAGAGGTGTGTATTAAATGATGAAAAAACACTAAGGTGTTCAAAATCAAATTGGATGTTTCACAAGAAATGCAAATGGCTGAGTTTGGGTGCTTGGCGAAATTGAAGAATTATAACAGCGTTTCTGTTCCTACACCAAATCAATGCTACAGCATTACTCTGTCCCAATATTTGCTAATACACATTGACTTCAGAATGGGGATGGGGCAGTTGCCAGTGTGCAGCCTTCAGTGCTGTCACAATTCAGTTGATCCTATAATAGAAACAACTGAACTGTGATAACAGAAGGCAAGGGTATTTAAAAATACAGTAATTACTAAAAAAGTGCTTTAACTTGAAGGGGAGTCTTGCAGATCATGAAGTGTTCTTTGAGATGTCTTTCTGTACATTCAAAAATGCATTGGCAGCTGGTTGAATGTTTACAAATCTATTGCTCCAAATAAGATGGAATTGGCAGTCTTTAAACTCATATCTTTGTGACCTGGACCTTCACCAGTGAATGAGCTGTATCCCAGTTACAATTGTGTATACTTCAAATTGTCAATGGTACATGTACAAATTGGAAACAACAAAAATTTAAATAAACTAAACTTTTCACCCCCTAAAAGCATCTATTTATTTTAAGATGGTAATGGAAAACTGGGATTGCATCATTTTTGGCAGTCTAGGAGTTCTATAAAGCATTTAAATGCCCCCTTTCACATCCTTAACTGGCAAGAAACTCTTGAGGATTATCTTTATCTGGTACAAATCAGCAGCCTGAGAACCCCCGGCACACGTTCTGCCTGCCTCTTCGGGCCGAGTGTCAGAACAAGCTGGAAATCGCTTCACAATGGAGGAGGTTTCCTCAACCACAGCCCTCTCCTTCATGCCTCGCCAGCAACTTGCAAACACAGGGCTTGAAAATTAACACTAATGTTACCCGCAAAGCCGAAACAAAGCCTGCTGAAGGGCCGTCAGGCTCTGCCCAGGAAAGCTAGACTGGCAAGCGAGACAAGTTAGGCTGAGTAGATGCAGCTTAAGCTTAGCTGAGCACGGTTGTGGTCACGCTCTCTGCTAGCTCTGACGATGGGTCGCTGGCTCAGTGCTCTGGGCTAGAGGGAGCTTCTCGGGTATTCAGTGCTTGGTGATCAATCTCCAACAGACTACGGCTGTATTAATTAAGTCAGAAGGTGCTCTCAAGTTATAGTCAAAACTTGTACATTTTATTCCCAATTCACAGGGTTATTTGCACAGATGGAACACAAAACTCAAGAAGAAAGGATGTGTATGAATAAAACATTAGCATCTTTTGATCAAACACACTACAGGGTACATAGTCTTCCCTTCCTATAATAGTCTCATCAGTAAGAGCATCTTTAGACAAATATTATAGCAATGGACTACAGACTTTTTAAGCAAGTTACAAGATAAATGGAGAAAACCAGCAATTATTAATGGGTGATTATGTCCTAAAAATGTGTAAATTTATCCCTTTATACTTCAAAATGTTAATCTGCAACATCCCTGCCAAAAAATCAAGTAGCAGTGCTGCAATGTATATCAATCCAATTGCCCTTCTCTGAACATATTTCAAGCTGTTACCCCAGACTAAACAGTAAGGAAAAAAAAAAAAGCTCTTTCCAAGAAGAGAGCTCAAAGTAACATTTAAATTGAAAATTTCCACTTTGAATAAAGCCATTATACTGTACATTTAAACATCTTTAAAAGACATAGAAAGGATAACATTTAGCTTTCAGAGACCAGTCTATTATAGTCCCTAATTTAAACACCCAGCTACTTATCCACTAAATTTAAGATTTTTAATTATCAGTTGGGTGCATGGACTTTTGGTGAAAAAGAAGTTCCAATAGAGCCTTCTATTACTGCTGAGATAAATCGATACGCTGCAGATATTTTGGAGCACAGCCATTACTTTCAGCAGAATTTTTACATACTACTTCAATTCTACAAATTTTGCAGGAATGACAAAATCTAGTTTACCACAGAAAAACATAATTCCCACCGTTCTTGAGACTCCAAAAGAAAGATGCCTATACATGATCTTTTGTAGCCTGCGTATGTTCTTGCATTCCAGCTGTGCATAACCTGCGGGTAGCTTGCACAAGACAGGCTACTGCTTTTTTTAGAGCAGGACTAGGATACCTGCATCAAGGAAGGGAGATGTTATCTAGATGGGCTGTGGCTTGACTTGCATGAATGCGTAAACATTCCCTGCCCTTTTGGCCACATCCTGCTAACTCGTCCCCAACTGAAAGGCCCACAGAACAGCTTCTTCACAATTTTTCCATGGGAGCAAGAACTAGGACAACATCTTTATTCATGCACTCTTGAAACATCGTGGGTTTGTGTTCGGCTTTTCTGGCTTGTTCATATACACAAGTCAAGTCAAAGTTTAGTCCTACCTCTGGGAGAGAAAGAAAGAACCATCAGAACTGTCAGATACTACATTATACTTGCAATGAATTGGATTTTCAAAACAAAAAAAAAATTTATACTGTGCTATACATAAATGTTGAGGCACACAATATAAGGACATGCTGACAAAATAGTTAAGGTATAGTTACTGTTACTCTGCAGTCTCACATTAGAACCTGAGCCTGGACACAAAGATGTTCTCCTCCCTCCTCCCCACCGATCCAGCTGTAATTCTGGCTGGACTAACGTGAACATCAACTACAGCAATCCCTTGCAGGCTGCTGACAAAAACGTAACCCCACTTTCCCATGACACAGTCAGGCGGACCACTTTTAAGTAGGATTTTAGTCTTGAAGACTATATTCATTTCAGAACGCTGAAAAAGGGTGGGGTTTTCTGCTGTTACAAGCCATTTTTATGGACAGCTACAAGATAATCACAGCTCAACTTACACAGTGTCAGAGTGGGTTTATCAGAGCAATTAAGTGCTTTTCAGAGTTGTTTTCATTCAGTGGCATAAGAAGAACCAGTTGTAAATACCACAAGCGCCGGGAGGCGGCTTGAATTTTAAACGTCATCAGCAAAGTTTTACCACCTTCTAGAGAACCACTGCTGGTGCAGTTTTTCATATGGCAAATATAAATCGATAAGGTGATACTAGAAATTTGGTTCTATATGAATCTTCAATTGCTGATTTTAAGTACTTCATAACCTGGCTAATAATATCTGAATTATAACCATCAGGAAGTCCATCCAGCAATAATGAAAGTTAATGGAAAAGACATCTCAATATATTAGACTAAAACATATGCTTATCATTCTTATTTTGTCTAGTACCCCTTTAAAAATGTGAAATGGTATTTATTCAGACATTAAATGTAAATTCCTGACTTTACTGAAATACCATAGTAAGGATTTTACTCCATAAGGGATGCATAGCTCTACTCCTAACCATGCTCTGGAGTCAAATTCTAAAGCTACAATAATTCCAGTGGATCAGTATTTCCTTCATTTTTTTATTACAGCATGTTTGCTAAATTTACAGCAAGCAGAAAATAAGCTGGGTCTTTAGTTATTTTGATCAAAACATTGATGTTTTAAAGGTAGTACACAATATTTGTTAAAAAGAACATATAAAAATACCTTTTTAGAAGCCTCTATAAGAAAGGAAATACAAAGTTTAATCCCACAACTTTCCTCTGCTAGAGCTGCACGCTACTGCTACAGTTTTAAATAGACTTTTTGCTGTTTTTAAACTATACATCCAGGAAAGTCTACAAAATTAAAGGAACGTGCATATAAATGATTGCATAGCAGAACATGAACATTAACTGCAAACAGTAAAGAAAAAGTTAGAAATACTATCAAATGTACAAAGACTCTAGAATCAACCCCCTAAGCACGTTCCACTGCCAATATTTAAAAGCCATCTGCATTTCTTCAAAGGCCCTGCTGAAAACACTAAAACCCAAACCTAAAACATTTCTCTAAAAAGGAACTTTTTGAAATCAATGTCTTTATATGCTACTACATAAGACAGCAAGGAACACTAGGTGACTGATGCTGGCTTTTGAAGGTGAATAGAAAAAAACAATGCCAAAAGCCATTTTCATAACAAAGTATCTTGCCTTCTAGAGAAATACTGGTAAGATTACACACTGGTTTTGTTATTTTTCACATTCAATTGACTAAATATACTGTATTAGTGATAAACTAAATAGCTAGAGATGCAGCTCTTGTTCATATCCAACTTCAAACATTTGTTCTTAAGTAAAATGAAATCTTGTAACCAAACCACTACCCATTCTGAGGAAGAAGTGATTCAGACTTGCTTGACCAAATACTTTTTGACGTGTAAAAGCAAGCCTTTGTTACTCAGGAAGAGAAATGGCTACAGTTTTATACCTATGAATACACCAACTAACCACAAGAGTCATTGGCATAAAAGTTTAGTTCTTATATACTGTACACACACAACTCGAAACAATCTACTGGTATCTAACAGCAGGAAAACTAAGCAATTTTATGGTTAACTGCTCACTAAAATTTAGAATAGATACAAAAACTGCATAAAATGTACATACAACCTAGTATTTTGTTGCTCTGCCATTTGCTGAAATCTGAATTTAATTTTCCATTTCAAGGTGTTTTTTTCCTCACGCATTTAGTACTAGCAGCCAGGTCAAAAGCAGTGAAGCCTCTATCCTGACAAGTCACGACACTGCACAATCTCTGAACGAGTTTCCAAGACCAACTCTCTCCCCGTGTAGTACATGCAACGTTAGTACCATCTCTCCGGATGGCAGGGTTAAAGAGAAATCTCAAAAATATCTCTCCATAGAGCTCCATTTACCAACCTACTTGTGTCAGTGGGCATGGAGAGCACAGAAACCTGCCTTTGAACAATGGAAACATAGAATTGCCAGTCTGCATTTCACAGCAGTCAGTGTTGCGCTACAGCTGTCCAGTTTTCTGTTTTATCACAAAGTTTAGCATTAAAGAACAAGTTAAACAGTTGGTTTAACTGTTCAGCACAAACTGGTACCAATTTCTCTACGGGTATGACATTTTCAATAGGACAATATTGCAAGTTACGATCAATCAAGTCATCACCAATACCTAAGCATTAAAAATGCAAATCTTTACAAAAATATACATAGAGACACCACAACCAAATCAGTAGCTGCCCATGACATTTAACCAAGTGGACATTCTCTCTCTCTCTCTCTTTTTTTTTCTCGCTCTCTCTCAGTGGCTTCTCAACACTGTTTTAATTTTAACCATTGTCGGCTACAGGGAAAACTGACAAAGAAAATATTTTTTAGCACTGCTGCAACATCATATTCCTGATAATTTAAGTAAACTGAACTGTGTGTAAATGAATCTTACATGCCTAAAAACAACATGGTTACACTGTTAGTGGCCACTGGACTTGGGACTAGTCCATGACCTTGATCTGGATTTTGACCTAGATCTAGAATGTGATCTTGACTGTGATTTGGATCTAGCTGGTTCTTTTTTTCTCGACTCCTTTTCATATCTTGAGCTGGACTTATAGTGTGTTTTAGAATCTGTTTTAGAGGTGCCTCTAGATTTGGTGTGAGATGCAGACCTAGACCGTGATTTAGCCTTCATTTCTTTCTTGGGCTGTGACTTGGATCGTGATCTTGAATTGGACTTAGATCTTGAAAAAGATCGATTGCGGTGTTTGAACCTATCAGAATAAAGGGGAGAGAGGAGATTTGAATGTAAAAACACTATTCTTAGACATCTAGTACATTAAAAATTGTTTACCGTTTTTTGCAGGAGAAACTTTTTTTTTAAACCTATAGTTAAAGGAATACAGTTGATCTAGTTTTCAATTTAAAGGGTGTAAAAAGTATTTTACCTATCATTGTCCGAATGGCTTCTGCTACGACGAGGTCTTCCAGTAGGTCTACTGCTAAAAAGGTACATCAGAAAAAGTAAACAGTGACAAATACCTACGTTATGTATACAAATGCTTAATAAATTATTTTTCAAGCTGTGCATTTGCTTTTAGTCATTCTTCAGTGAAGCACAGAATCATTTCATTCAGTATTTCTGATTTGAGGTAGCATGCAAGATACGTAACTCCCACAAGTAATTACAAAGCGACTATAGAAAAAGATCATTCAAAATTTTAACAATTAAATAGTCAATGTGGTGTTTCTCCTCCAACAGACTGCTGTGCAGTTGAAACCAAACATACACTACACTTACTTTCTGGGACTATACGATCTTCTATAGCTGTAATCAAAAGAACGACTTCTAGACCGTCTCCTTTCGTAACTCCGACTTCTAGATCGCCTATATCTGTCATAGTCATCGTAACGAGAAGAACTGTATAGGTTTCTCCCTTCCTTGGCTTTCATTTGATTTGGTGCTGTAAAAAATAGCAGTATTTAACATTGTAAGGTAAAAAAGATGCCCTACTTTCCCTTTAGTGATACTACTAATCCACATATTCGGTATTTAGCAGAAAGCCTAATCATGATTCTAGCAGACATGTTTATGAAAAGGACAGATGAAAGACTGCTGTATGCCGTTTGCTTTTTGCTGCTTTAACCACTGGACAAAAGTTAATGCAGCCTTGTGGGCATTATAAATCTAGGAAAAAAAACCCACCAAACCACCCCAAAAAACAGTAAGAAAGGAGTAATGTGCCATAAAACCAGAACACAGAACTGGCTAAGGTGATTTCAGGCCACCTGGAAACTGGTACGACAGGCCAAACCCGTGACTGAAACATTCTAACATTCCTGAATTTACCCAAAAAGTGAAAGCTAACAGGGAATTAATTAAACATCCATTTTCTTGACTACACAGCACCACGCATTACACCTGATCCACAGTCTTCTTTAATGATTAAAGGACAGCTTATACAGAAGCAGCAATGGATGCCACACAAAGAGAAGTTTGATTCTAGAAGTACCCCCCTGCCAGTACAACAACGCACATTCACTCTGTAGTTTAGTTATTAAAATAATTAAGAAGAATGAATGAACTTACTAGTCTTCTGTTGTATTTTCTCTAAGCAGCATAGCTATCTCTCCTTTGTATTAAATCCCATTCTCATTCAAACCCAAAGATCACGCTCAAAGTATTTTAAACATATCATGCTGTAATGAACGTTATCTGTACTGAACAGCTACAATTTTTATGTTTTAAATGCTGCTGTTTACAACACTAAGGTAGATTTAGTTAATTTTTGTTCAGAAACTTAGAAGAAATCCCAATGTTTATACACAGGACAGAAGTTTGTCCTTCAGAGCATATAATTTCCATTGACTTCAACAAAAACTAAGTGTGCGCATTTAGGGAAACCTGGACAGTTAGGTTGTTTCTTTGATAGCTTTAACTGAAAGATCTTCAACGCACTTTTATTCCCAAGCTGCACATGAGTATTATAGTCCTGTTTTAGATCAACAAGCATGCGTTAGGTTTACCAACAGCATGTTTTATTTTTACATAATATCTGTATCTATCTATATATTAAGAATATGTATTTAAATAACAGATGGAAAAGAGGTAAGTTCTCTTTACAATTATCTGTTCAGAAAATAAGACTTCTGTTCCATGTTGAATTGCGATACCTTGAACGTTACTTCTATCCTGAAGCAAAATGAAAAGGAAGACATTACCTCAATCCTGGAAACTGGACTGCACTGGGAAATGTCAACACAGAATCACTAATACATTCCAACACAATATAAACATTGCAGTACATTAAAACTGGGCCACTCATTTTGACAGGGAGAATTTTCAACAGTGTGTTTCTGCAAAGAAAGCTTGATAGAGCTGCACAGAAAGCTCTTAAGAATTTTCAGCTAGCAGCAAGAATAGGATTCTGGTAAGTGACCGTTACACTTAGTTATCTGTTTTTAATTAAAATGAGTCATTAATAGTTACTGGATAAAAAGCAAAACATCCACATACTATTTATATACAAGTAAGAACATATCACAACAATTACTAACACATGTAATGTTGCCTGGCACTAAACATTAAGGCTAAAATCATAGTCTCAT